CTCCAGTTTCAGATCTGTTTTGAGATTCCTGTGGCAATTGGGTTTAGGGTTGGGGTAGACATGAATAAAATACAACTAATGGAGAATTTTATAAATTATATAAATATTTATCGTAGTTCAGCTATACTAATAGCGAAGATTCCAGATCCAGATCTGTTTTACATTACTGTGAAGGTTGGGTTTAGGGTTGGGGTAGGGCTAGATGTTAATAAAGTACAATTAATGGGAAATTTAACAAATAATATAAATAATTATTTTTAACTTACGCCCACAGCCGTATGTGATCTATAGCTAATTAAGCATGTGGATGGATGATAACAACCTTCTAAGCCTACCAGTAGGCCCAAAAGGCCCATACTGGCCCATATTTATCAGCTGATAATGCCTATTCAATTGAGTGATACCCCTCAAAGGGTCGTTAACTCGTTTGATTCGTTCAAAACTTAAGATTCATTTATTAATGATTTACTGTTATTGACTGAATTTCACACAATACTGCATATAATTTTGTCAAAACACCTTACAATGCTATAATATCATTGTAAAATAGTAATGTTACTTGTCTTTTTATTAAATTTAATAGGCATTATATGAAAAATTGTGACTGATCTTACATTTTCTGGCAGAAACTGATTTCTACTGTGTTGTTTATATTTGTTATGATCTTGTGCACTGAGTAAGAAACCTGGTGAGTCACATGATTTTTGTCAAAGTTTTACATCAGCAGGACGCTCCATCTTGTGTTTAATCTACATACGATTTCCACACTACATGCTGTATATCGGTGCCCTGATCTACTTCACATGCTTCAGCTACTCTAAACAGCAGAACATACCAGCCTGATCTCATGAGAAAACGTAAGTATTTTATGTTTTGTTAGTTTAGTGGCTAATTCATACGAATTCGTATACGAGTTCAGTCGTAAGAAAATGTACAATTTTAAAAAGAAATTAAATTAGATCGTACAAATTCATTGCCATGCGAATTGCCATGAGATTGCATTGGACATTCTGAAAAGTTAAGACATGTTTGCTTTGACATATCCAGTTTAAATACTTTATTAGCATCTATACAGCTAAAGGAATAAGTGGAAGTCTTATTTTTTAATGATGTCCTGGTTTTTGTTTATGGATTAGCACTCCATAAACTATGAAAACCATTAAATCAGTGGCTGCAAGCAGTCACTAGCTCTCACAATTGCTATGGTATTAGTGATGTATGGTGCAGTATGTATATTTATCAGCCAACAAATGCTTACTTTTATTGTTTATTGCTATTCGATAAGAAATCAAGTTAAAGGCTGATAAATTTGTGCCAGTTTATCAGCTGCCTGTATGTGCTGCTTTCCATGAGGGTTTTGATTGGTGCCTTCAAATGACATGAAACCAGGCAAGATGCAATTAAAAAGGTGTCAGCAGTGTGGTTGAAGATCTAGATATATCTTCGCAGTATTTTCTGCATTTCCCAGAGATGGGTTGTGGCTGGAAGGGTATCCGCTGCATAAAAACTTGCTGCATAAGTTGGCGGTTCATTCCGCTCTGGCAACCCCGGAATAATGAAAGGACTAAACCGAAAAGAAAATGAATGAATGAATGAATGTTTTTTTATGCAGTTAAGGTTTTGGAGTTTCTTGAAAGGAGGTTTAAATAAAATGTATTAGTTCTATTATTAGTTGGAGCATTTTCAGCTTAGCTTAGCATAAATAATTGAATCTAATTAGAATACTCTTCTGTTACACCGTCAAGTGTAAAATGAAAAGGTGCTGTTTTCTAGGTTGATATGGCTAGGAACTACTCTTGTCATGGTGTAATAATCAAGTTGTTTCCATTGCGCAGGAGGCGCAATGATATTACACAAAAATAAGATTATAGCTACCAGCCATATTAGCCTTCAAAATAGCAACTTTCCATTTTCCGTCAGTTTTAGTCACGTTGTAACTAAGAGTATAGCTTTAATTTAAATATGAAAAACATCCTAAACTATCCCTAAATTATATAATGGTCTAATCGGATTCAATGCTAAGCTAAAAGTGCTCCCGCCAGACCCAGAAATTAGCTGAATGGATTAAAAATTTGCTTAAACTCAACTGTTTACCTCTAGGTGACTTATAAAATGAACCTACTTCCTAAAAACTGGAATCTTTCTTTCAAAATATTTGCAATCGTCAACTGCACAAGTTGGCAGCACAAATTATCTCTGCAAGTCAGAGACCAAACTGGACATGGTATCAATTATCTATAGCCCCCTTCCCTGTTTCCCAGCCCTGCTACTGGAAAATATCCAACTACAGGTTTAGTTTGCATTTCTAATTAAACATGTTCATAGACGAAAATGCTACATTACAACTCAAAAAAAGAAAAAACCTTTCCCACCTCCATAGAACATAATGTTTGAGTGAAACTCCCAAGTCTCAATTTGTAGGACAGATTAATCAACTCTGACTTCAGCAAAACCATCTAAGAGTTTTCCCTGACTCCCTGCTAAAATATAATTTAAAGAAAAACATGCTGCATATTGTAAATAATATACAAATATGTATTTATATATAATCATGTAAACATGGTGAACTACTCTTGCCTTGCCTCACCCTGCCTGCTTTCCCACTTTACCTATTATTTTATCCACTTTATCGGATAAAATGATTACATGTATTTTTATGGAAACGATAATAAGTTTAGAACAAATTAGGTAGGACAAAAAAGATAACTGTAGTATATTTCCGATATGCTGTTTTAACTCATTTAAAGGGCCATGAAACCCCCTCGTTTCAGCAGGGTGTTTTCACACCTCTACTTTGGAAAAAGTCAGAAAAGTGGGCGTGTCCAGCTCTGTTTAGGGGGGAGTGTCGTGTGTTTTTAGCAGTGTGGGACACATATATGACTGTCAACAGCTCAAAAAATGTGTTTTGGTGTTTGTGACCCTTTAACAGTAGTAACTGTCAATGCTAGCTTGGTAGGCTGTACTTTGTTTATTATAAAAAAAAAAGTTATAAACAGCTTTAAATGTTCACTTTTGACCAATTATCTCTATTTTGTTGTAAATCATTACATGTATGCTGCCTTAATGGTAAATCTCAAGTGTTGTCTCAAGCTATGAAAATAAATATTTTCATTTTTTTGAATTTAAAGAGATGGTTCTCCTAAAAAAATAATAAATAAATAAATCTCACCATTTACACATCAATCAAGTGGTTCCAAACCTACCATTCTACCAGAAACTTACAATTTTACTTATTAGGGCCTGACTTAAATTTGTTGGCCTCAAAAAATCATACAAAACCATAAAATCATACAATTCAATGGTAGAAAGCATCCATGATCACTGTCAGCTTCTCCTGATTTTACTTCCGAGTCATAGCCTTAAAGGTGTGTTGCACGCATTTTATGTTAAATTTAAGGCAAATGTGACAGGACTGACAGAAAGATGGGAACTATTGTGAAATACTATTTATTTGTAGAACGTATTATAATTTCATGTTTTTAATCTATTGTTGTGAATAACAATTAAAACTTGCTATTTATGAAGTTTTTTCTTCTAAACAACAGTTTTTAGCATAACAAAACTATTAAAGCTGTTGGTTAAATTAGGCTGAGAACAATGACAATGACAGGGTTCGTACATTTGTAAAGTGTTTTTAATAAGTGTCGTTTATTCATAAACTAATTTCGAGGATCACATGCTTATGATCAACATGGCTGGCTCCTCATTAGCTCTGTAATCTTCCCTATTAGATGATTACGGAAGCATTATAAATAACCAGAGTTTTTCACTCCAGTTATCTTCATCTGAAGCTTCCTCCCCTTCCACCCCTACTTCCCCCCTTTTTTCAGATAGGGTGACATGGTGGCCCAGTGGCTAACACTGTTGCCTCACAGCAAGAACACCACTGGTCCAACCTCCTATTGGGCTGGTCGGTGTTTCTGTGCGGAGTTTACATGTTCTCCCCGTGTTCGTGTGGTTTTCCCCTGGGTTCCCTGGTTTCCTCCCACCGTCCAAAAACATAAACCATAGCAATCGACTAAACCAAATTATCACCTAAGACAACCTAGTTTACCCTTCTCACACGGCGACAGGCAGGGGAGTTCTCGAGACCTACCTCAACTCGAACTCCCCTCTCGCCCTAACGGGAGGGAGCCCTGGGCTCTCTCCTCGGACAGCATGCCAAATTTGCTTTATTGATTATCAGCTAAATTTAAACTCTTGAAAGAACAAAAATCTGAGAACCGAATGAATGAGAGACTCCTCTCAAAACAACTCACAGAAATTAACCATCAGTCCAGTTTAGATTTATTTGGAAGTGCATCCACTGTGTAAAACATGTGCTGGATAAGTTGGTGGTTCATTCTATTGTGGTGACCACAGATGAATATACAAACTATGCCGAAGCACATGAATAAATGAATGAATGAATACTTATTCACTGTATTAATGTTTTTATTTCAGGGACAGATAATGTATGTTTCTGGTAGAATGTCCTGAAGACATTTTGAATAACGTTGGAAAGTGGCTATTGATTTTTATAGTAAAAAATAAAACACTGGAAGTCAGTGGCTTGCGTCTTCCAACATTCTTCAAAATATCTTCTTTTGTGTTCAACAGAACAAAAATGTGTAAGTAAAAACTAATGACAATTTTCTCTCTGGGTTGAACTGCCTTTAAAAGCTTGGCATCAAAGCATGAATGTAGATAATCGTTTAAACACTTGAAACGTATGTTATAACGTCTAAATGTGCAATTTTATTTTATTTTTAATTAAGTGTAATTTAATGAATACGTTTACATAATTTATTTATTTGTAGGCATATAAACTTAGATATAAAAATAGCAGATTAGGCTGTTAATGTCGGTTCATCTAATGAAGTACTTCCCGGATGAAGATACGAGTCCGCTGTTCGTCTCTCTCTCTCTCTCTCTCTCTCTCTCTCTCTCTCTCTCTCGCCATCCTATGTCACTAGAGATCGAGGGATATTCTTCTGTTTTCACATCTGTCTACAGAACCACCAAAGCAGACAGTGAATGAGAGCGAACATCTGAGGATCCCTCATTCATTCGGTCATCAAAACAGACGCCAGGAACAACATGCAGGTAAGATGCTTTACCTGAGGCAAAATTATAATAATTCTGTCAATGTCCAACTTCAACGTCAATCGATAAAATGATGCCGTTGTAACCGCGTTTTGTTAAACGGTTCTGAACACGACGCTACCGTCAGTTTATCTTTTCTTGCCTTAAACTTTAAAGTGTTTAGAAACTTTAATCCCGCCCGCGTTATCTTAAAAATACTTTCCGATATAGTATTGAAGTAGGCTGTTAAACTTTCTGAGTTTAATCATGGGTAAATGCCAAGTTTGTTATGTCCATCATAAACGATGTAGTTTGCTGTAGGTTGATTTCTATGTAATTTTATTGTGTACATTTGATATCCTTTTTTTCAACAATCTCTTCTCTCACTAAGAATTTCTGGTTATGTTATTCGTATCTCCCACTCTGTGTAGGCTGTGTGCGCGCGCGTGTGTGTGTGTGTGTGTGTGTGTGTGTGTGTGTGTGTGTGTGTGTGTCTGAGAGAGAGAGAGAGAGAGAGAGAGATTTAAAGTCTATTAAATTGTCTTGAGAGGAGCCCTAAGCCATTTTCATCTACAAAGTTTGTCGGATGGTGACTTTTATAACCGGTAATCTGATTATTATGTAACACTGTGCCTTCTTTCGAGTACTTTAGAACAGCCTGTGTCAGGAATTTGATATTATGCCCTTCGTGCCCCTTGGCTAATGTAATATTAGAGCTTTTGGCGGAAACGGGAACAGCCAAAAATAAATATTTGAAAATCTATGCTAAATGTTATTTAGTTAGATTGTTTGACCAGTCAACGCAGTGAGAGCACAGTAAAGGAATTCTGAGAAATGTTATTCACAATTTCATTTAATAATTTACATTATAACACTCTATATTCCAACCACACATTATTTATAGTTGCATACACGCTTATCCACTTCATCATAGATGTCCCAGACAAGGAAAAAAACAAAGACGCTGATGACCTATGACAAGAGCAATGATGGTTTATGTAATCTCTGGCAAGGGAACAGTGCACTCACGTGTGTTTCTTGATACTGTCATTTTTAGTTGACACCTTTATTGAAGAATTTGTTCACCTGTACACAGCATTTGGTGTGAATTAGCAGAATTTTCTTCTCTTGATATGAAACATGATGATGAATCAAAAAAAAAAAAAAAACTAAGGTACGTTTGAAATGGATACTTTGTACCATGTTTTTTTTTTCTCCAGCTGCAGCACACCAATATATTTTCTGTAATGTATCAGTTTTTGTTGTTGTTGTTTTTAAGGTGATGCTTAAATGGCAGAAACTGTACTTTGCTCATCTTGGCTAACTCCATGGCATTCTCATCTAAATAATCCTAATACTGTCTGTGACAGAGAAAGGAGAAGATTAGTTTTTTCTTCATCTTCTGATGAGATGCTGTTAACACTAGGGGGGCTTCAGAGTTTCAATTGATGCAGTGCTGTCTCTTCATGCTCGCAGATTGTTTTAAAATTTGAATACAACATAACTCAAAGTGGTTTAATAATTTAGTGAACATTTTGCCAAACAGGGAAATGAAATACAGGAAATCTTATTACTTTAGTCTCTGAGAGTTTGTCAAAAAAAAAAAAAAAAAAAAACTACTGCTCAAAGGCATCACTTGTCAGATGGAGAACAAGAGAACTGAATAACATCATAACACTCTTGGGATTAAGATTGAAAATGTGTTCACATTGCAAAATATTTGTATTTGTTCTACTTCTATGTAGTCTGTTAAATTAGTGTTGATCTATGATATTTTCTGTTGTCTAATAAAGAAAAGAAAAAGAAGTTCTCTGAAGTTTACTTATGTAGTGTTGCTCTAGAATCTAATATTTATCCTCTGATATTTTTGAATCTGGATCTAGAAATTAAACTCATAGTAGTTTCCTGACTAATTGCTCATCGCGACTGCTCAACTACTGCTGATGCTTTAGCTGCTGCACTGTTGATCAGATTATTTTGGTTTTAAAGTCTGTTTAAAGGTTTACAAAACCCTGGAGTACTTTTTTAAGATTTTAACAGATTTGTGTGTGTTGAGCATCAGTTAAGACCGTGTTGGCACCTATTAGCTGTAATTGTGGGAAAAACTGGATAATTTGGAGCTTTTGTCAGCTTCCGGGTTTAAAATGATTTTTGGGGTTGGATTAAAATCTGCAACGGACCTTAAAACTGCAAATGCAAAAATGACGAGTCGGTTTTTCATTATTACTCAGAGTTTTCTTATCCTATGAGAAGAGCCGGCTTCTTAAGTATTCATGAAAAAATGTAGCAGGACATTAAATTACTCTTTATTTCTTCGCATTTTAACTTTGTAAACTATAAAATCATGCGTCTCCTCATGGTTTGTGTCTCATTTTGTGAGCCTACTGACAACAGCTGTTCGCTCTCCTCCTTCTCCCCTGCTCTGCTGGCCATGCCCACTCCTGCTCCTACAGCCCAAGATTTTTGCTGCTGGCTTCATTGAAACCGACATTTGGACTTGGCATGAGTGACCAATGGTTTAAGAGGGCTCTGGATGCAGACCTTGTGCAGTGCAATCTGAGCTGCATCCAATGCTTTTTATTGCGCTCACCTAACCCCACCCCTAATCCTACCAGTCACAGTGACATCACTCCCTCCATTGAGTGCATTGTGTCTGACATTGCATCGCTGAGTGATGCAATCTCAGCTTGCATCATAAAGGCTGCATCCAGATACTATTGAATGGTTTGGCTATAGCAGCCCGGCCATGTATACTCACCCTTTGGAGCTCCAAATAAACAGTTTTTGCGGGAAACAGGAGAGTTTAGGTGCACATTTAATTCTGTGTTGGGCAGCTGTGGTTTTATGTTAATGGATACAATCCAAGTTAGCACCCGGATATCCTTTCAGACAGCTTGTAATTCCTCTATCAATCGCATTTTTTTTTTCTATTTCATGAGCTTGCAATAACCAGATTTGTGATAAATGATGATCTCTTCCTTTTACGCAGAAAAAAACTACCTTCCTTTTAAACTGAAATGCCTTTCTTTTACAATATAAAAATATAAAATCCCTTGCATGTATGTATACACAGTTTTTCATGAGTGTTATTTGGGTGTTTATGCACACATCAAATTTAAATTCATTTGTAGAAGTGCAATTCATATATGTATGTGCGTGTGTTGTTATAGGTGTATATGCTAGGATTGGGTTTATATAAGTGAGTGTATGTGGGTGCATGCCGCAAGTTTGTATACAAAAACGTAAGTTTAATTTATATTGTTTTGAACAACCAATAGTGAACATGTATATGCGAGTACTTTATAGGTGTATATGCATGTGTTTTATGTATGTGTTGATAAGCAAAATTGTTTTTTAATCCTACATGGTGCCTTTTAGACTTAAGAGCCAAGTTATATCATTATCAATAAACCTGGCCCTGGTCTGTTTGGATAATGATAGAACTGTAGCAAAAATTGTATTGCCAAATGATTGTGCATGGATTCTGAGATTTTCCAAATGCATTGTAATTCTCTCTCATTTTGAACTTAACTTTTAACAGCAGGTGGCGCTCTACTGTCGTTTTTAACCATAAAATGCTTAGGAAAAAATAGCGCTTGGGTGTTTGGCCAAACACTGAAATATACAAGACATGTTAATTGTATAGTTTGAGTGGGAAAAATACAACAGTCAATATGGACACTTACTGGAAGGACACCTCACCTTCTGGAAAAGGAGCCAATCGTCAAGCAGTAAAGTCTGGCGTTTCTCCTGGGGAGGAAGTCATTTTGGAAGACATGTCATCAGGAATAAGTCTAAAATGACCTCAGAACAGCGTGATCATAATCAATGTTATTCAGAGGACATTGTGTGACATGTAAGTTATTAATTTTTATAGTAGTTATTTCATATATGTGTAGTTGATTGACAGGATTTCATCTGATCGCATTCTCCAGAAAGATTGTTGGTGTCGTGAATTTGTTTCTTTTGGGTGCACATGTGCATTAGCTTGTGTAGCCTTATAAAAATACGGTGAACGTTTAGAAAAAAAAAAAAACGATGAGACAGTTTATGTTTAGTTGCATTCTTAATCTCAAATATGAAATATAGTTGTAAGCTTGGCAAACAATTTTATGTTTCCTCATTCAAAAAGATAGAAGTTGCACTTGCGTTTCAAAGACAGCTGCAGAATAAAAAAGATCTCAAGATTTAGTTCTTATAGGGCTTTATTCTCATTTTCTGCCACTTTTCTGGGGCCGGGTCGCGGGGGCAGCAGTTTTACAAGAGAACCCCAGTCTTCTCTCTCCCCATATACTTCCTCCATTTCCACCAGGGGGATCCTGAGACTTGCCCAGGCCAGCCGAGAAACATAGTCCCTCCAGGGTGTCCTGGCTTTTCCCCAAGGTGTCCTCCCGGTGGGACATGCCTGAAACACCTCCCTAGTTAGGTGTCCAAGAGGCATCTGAATCAGATGCCCGAGCCACCTCAGCTGACTTCTCTCGATGCTCTAGTCAAAAGCACATGGCGCAGGCCAACTTAGGGCATGTCCAGGGCATTAAATCTTAACTCCCATTTCCTTTAAGAATGAGTTGCGGTTGCACCATGGTGGGTTTTTACATTGCAGAATTTGTAAACGAAAAAACTGAACAATTCACTGGTGAGGAAACAGATTTGCTTGTGCATGAAGTGGAAACCAAGCCGAATTTCACCAAAGCCAAGATGTGCGAGGAGGTAGCGGTTTTTATAGATGTATGTATAGTCAGGGGGGTTGTGGGGGGTAGGGTTAGGACAAGAGCCCCAGAGATATTATTAGGGGCCCTCGTCTGCGACTATTACCAACATCCTCCCACAACCCATCTTCACTTTTGTTCGTCATCGCCCTCCCCGCTATTCACTTTCACCCTCGTTAAACCCCCACCCCTCTACCCTTCTTCGGTTTCATCTGCAATCCCCCCCACCTGAAAGGTTGTCAGAGGGCCCTTGTTAGCCAGCGGCAGCCCTGTGTAAAGTATAATAATGTTTAGATTTTAATTCCTTTATTTTTCTTACTGAAAGATAATTGCTGATGCACATCCCTTTGTGTGTAATAAGCAAAGTGTATGCTTGTTTTAGACCTGCCTATAAGGATTGTATAACCCTCTTTTTAAATAACAAAAAAAAAGAACTTTTGAACTTAGAGCAGGTTTTAGTTGGTTAATGTCGCTTTCTATTTCAGTTGTGCCAACAATACACCTTTAACACCCTACTTTTCATACTAGCATCGATGGGTGCAAATGCATCTGCTATTTAAACAATGTGGCGCAAGATGTGAAACAAATACCTGCACCAGGCTGAAACTAGTGAATAACGCTTGCATCACTCCCAGCGCAGCAGTGTGCCTGTTGTGTTATAGGGTCCTAGAGTGAGTAATATTATTAGTATTTGTGAAGCAAACTAATTTGCAACCATTAAAATCAAGTATTATAATTATATTCAGCAAATTTACTTACATTATATCATGCTGTTCTGTTTTACGTCAATGCGGTGCTACTTACTCAGCTTCCCTGGTGTTCCTGCGGGGATATCAAGGCCTGTTTGTGCTCAAGGTGCCATATGTGGTTGTTTGGGACAGGTTGAGCAGTCACAGTGGTCAAGCCAGAGATTAATTGGAGCCTGCTGTGTTGACATTGCTTACTGTACAAGATACACTCGACTGACTCACCACAGTCGTGTCAATAATAAGCAGGTGCTCAGGCCTGTAGGTGACGACATGACAATAAAGCACAAATACATACATGTCCACACCACAGCAGTCATTATCATCCAAATCAAAGTAAAACACACAAATACAGTCAGTAAAGAAAGCTCTTTGTGATGAATTTACTGGTGTGATTACATAACATTATGCCTATCAGGACAGATGTGTAGTCAAGCAAATGAGTGCTTATTTACAACTCATAAACTGCTTAACTTGTGTGCATTTGAAGCAGAATTAAACATGTTCTTTATAGTTCTTAAGTCGGTAATACAGATTCTCTGTTGTGGAGATGTTTAACACTTGCTGGCCCTCAAAAATGAGTCCCCCAAGATGCTGGCCCCTGATGTTTTATTGATGCTGTTTTTAGGGAGGTTGAATTATTTAGTGATGCTCTAAATGTTCAGAGCAAAGCTTACTGTCTTTTCATATTCAAATAAGAAGCCAGGGCCCTCACAGGATTCCTCATGTCGTTCAAGGCGAACAATAGTTTGCAGGAGTAAGCGAAATCTCGCCCGTGTGCATTTCAGTGCATATTTTGAAGGTATGCTTAATGTTTTTCTTTTCTTAAAGTTTATATTCCTTAGACACTTCCTCGTTCTTACTTTTATGTTTTCATTTATTTTTTCTGTTTATCTCTTTTATGGCTCTCTCACTGTACAGATATTAAAGGTGTTTTTCATTTCTCTGTTGTTGTTGCCTTAGAACTGGCTGGAGAGTGTTGTAGCATGTAAACTATCCATTTAAACAATTAGAATTGTAAATACAGGAATAAAATCAGACTAAAACATACAGACTACGATAAAAAAAATTCAATCTTACTATGCATTAAAGGTCAAAAGTTTGCATATGCTAGCATAATGATTGCTGGCAATTGCTCTTAATTTGTTTAAAATTTATTTCTGTTTTTGCTGCTTAGAAGCTATATATGCTATTAGAAAGCAAAATGCAACACATTTCCTTCTGGAGCATTAGTTGGGGTTTTCACCAATTTGTAATACTTGAAGTACATAAGTTATCGTTTGTGAAAAGATGGAGCTCATTATCAGACAAGTAATGATAGTTCTTTATTCAGAGGATGCTGGAAAGCTAAAGAATTTCCAGAACCTGGAGGATTTTTCTGGAGAACTTGAAAGGGACAGTTTACCCCAAAATAAAAATGTATTTACTATTTACTCACCCTCAAGTGGTTATAAACCTTTGAGTTTCTTTCTTCTGTTGAACGCTTAAGAAGGTATTTTAAAGAAAGCTGAAAATGTGTAGACATTGACAAGTGTTGTGGGAAAAACACATACTATGGTAGTTAATGGTTAAAAGTTTCCAGTTTTTGTTTTGTTTTGTTTTTTTTTCCAAAATATGTTCTTCTGTGTTTAACAGATGAAAGAAACTAATAAAGGTTTTGAAAAGTAAAGGGTGAGTAAATGATGACCGTTTTCATTTTTTGAGCGATTCATTTAATTGTTGAAACTAATCATGAAACATTCAGGTGCCCAGTCCAAGTCCCAGTATCCAGCAAATAGTTTACCCCAGATCTTGAAAATAAAATAAATATATTTGTAATTGAACTTCAGAACTGGGACTCGGTGCAAGCCAGCACATATCAGTGATCGGTATTTAGTTGGAGTGCAGTGAGTGCACTATTCTGTGCTTCTAAATGGCTGTATTTAAATTTATGTCGTGTTTCATCTGGTGCAAACAGCAAAATTAGTTAGCACTGCAAATCTCATCACATAGCATGTTGTTTGGACACAGGGTTGAAATGTAATCTGCTCACCTCATGTTTTGTTCATAACATTTATATTGTTTGCTAATCAATAACGACCTCATGTGGAACTTACATACTGTGAGAGCCTTCCTGACTGACTGAACCAAATATGTGGTTTTCCACCAAGGCAACCTGGGGTGCTGAAATATAATTGGCTAAACTTGCATTAGGGGGGTTAAAAGAACCAAAACAAAAACAGACGTTCTGGCATAAAACTGACATTTTCAAAGCAGAATAATTGACTTTAGCATTGTTCTTCAAAAAAACAAGAATGTTTACTTGGTATGTTTCTTAAATATCTGCAAACATATTGTATTTTTTTGAGCATTACAAGAGTCTAAGGGTGCTTCTTACATCTAAATTTTTCTTTCAGAACCTGGCACGTTTCCCCAGTTAGCGTGGTTCGTTTGGCATATGTCAATCCAGCAATCACGCTCGGATCCGCACCGAAACAATTGGTCCGAGATCGCCTGAATGGGGTGATCAATTGTTGTGAGAAAACAAAATGATCCAACGAATTAATGAACCAGGCTATATCAGTTTGTTATGGTTATGTAATAGCCATATATACAACTACATGAAGAGGGAATTATGAGTAGGGTGGGATGTCATTCCTACTGGTAAATGTGCGATTCATGATGAATATGAAAGTGAAAGTGTGGAAATATAAATTTCTATCATCTAATTCCAAATGAACAATAATCTAAGTATAACTGAAAAGTTATATTCTTTGGTTTTTAATTATAAAATTTCATTGACATGCCAGCTAGGAGGGATATTTAACCTTTGCCTTGCTGACTACAGGCTAAGCCAAAGTGATGCAATTATCGGTTTCACAGCATGGCTGTATTGTCTTCTCTGTCTCCAGAACATCATTTGCACACTGTTGTAATGATGTACTTATATGCTGATGAGATCAGACCTGGAGAAGGCATGGCATCCTGCAGACAACCAGACTTCATTTGCATGCTTTGTTTGACTGTCCCCACCTACATGTATCAAAATGTATAAATATATAATGTTTTCTGTGCAGTTTAGAGTTTGCTTTCGATAATGCCACAGCCACGCTGAGTTCTTCTTATTAAAAAGGATTCTGCTTTGAAGACAACCGAAAGATTCTCCCTGGTTTTTTGGACTCTTAGAAGTTTACAACAAAAGCATGAAGAAATATTTCCAAGTGCTGTTAACCCTTAAGGGAAAGTGACCGAACTTACCATTTAAATACCATATAAATTAATCTTATAATATTTTGTATTAGGCTATTGTTTTGTTCATTGCTGCACTGACATCTTGAAGGAAAGATCAACATTGATCTGCTTCATGATCTGATTGCAAATAATGACGTATGACAGCTGAGCTGAATTCATGGGACTGAAAAATAAGTCCTGAAAGCAATGTGAGGAGAGGTTACTCGCACATGATTGTTTTAACCATTTTGGTCCATTTAGAAACTTTGCCATGTGAAACCGATCCATACGAAGAACATAAACAAACATTGTAACAATTTTATCCCTTTTTCGGAACTAAACATTCGATCTACAGGTGTGAAAGCACCCTAAACATACAACACTTTTATTTAAAAAAAAAAAAAATATATATATATATATATATATATATATATATATATATATATGCAGATAAAATATTTCAGAACTGAGCATAACAAAGCAAAAATTACATTTCACCAGAATTACATTTGTCTAGAGTATTTGCATGGTTATTGACCCCTTTTGTAAAATCTGAATTCAGTATGGAATGCCCACAGCCATCCTGAGGCAACAATGTAAGTTGTCAGAAAAATGGATAAGATAGAAAAATTAGCATGTGTTTCATACCAAAAATGTTCATGAACATTAAAAGATAAAACTGTAAAGCATCAGCTTTCATTTTGAAATTGAAATACAATGTCCTCCACGAAAGCTTTAAAACAGATTGTGAGTATTATAAAAGCAGCATGTTCCAATAAATGGTATTCTGCAGGGCATCAAACCTCCTTGACTTCCCTTTAAGAACAAGACTCTTTTAATGTGTTTTCTCATTGTCTTTGTCCTCCAGGCAGATGGACAGAAGGGCGTCGATGGAGGTCTGCTTCCTGATGCCAACGGGCGGGATGGGGACTCCAGCGGGCAGAAGGAGAGCGACGGGAAGTGGCAGAAACCACGCATCACCCGCAAATCCCTCATGAAATGCTGTCTGGTCAAATGGATCATCGCCAGTGCGGCGCCTCAGGGCTCAAGTATGACTCCTAAAAACCTAGAGAGTGTTATGAACGCTGTGTGCTAGCCATGATCCAGATGGAAGAGCGGAGGGAGCAAATTAGAGAGGAGAGGTTTAATATAGCATTTATGAAATAACTTAATATAGGCCTTTTAGAGATATGCTGTATAGTAAACACTTGCTTCCACCTTAAAACTAAAACTGACATCACTGAAACTCAACCGCATCTAAGCTTCAAGAAAGTCCCTTGAGTTGCCTGCAGGTTGTCCTGTTTATGTGAGATTAGATTATATATAGAAATATTTATGACATGACTTATGACAAGGTAGCATATGCTCCACTCCGGGTTTTCCATTTCACGCTTTCTGCTTAGTGGTGAAACAAATGCCGCTCCGAGTGATCCTGGTGTGAAACAAATCACAGATTTTAAAATATGCTGCATTTACAATCACTCTGGAGTAGTTTACAGTCCACATCGTTTGCATATTATGGTCTGAATTTATGCAGAACAGTAGAAACTATCAAATAAAACATAACTTTTGTCAAATTCTATAGTAGCTGACTTGGACCAGTGAAATTAAATAAATAATGCTGTTATGTATTATAACTAAATATATAATGCAAATCAACAGAGCCAGTTGACTTATAGTTAAAAAATATTGTTGGAAAATATACACTAATGGTTAAAAGTTTGGGGTCAGTTTTTTTTTTTCTTTTTCTGTTCATGAAGGCAGCATTTATTAAATGTAAAACAAAATGTTAAATTGTTAAATATTTATTACACTTTTAAATAACTGCTTTCTTATTGTATGTAGCTACAAATTAAATTCATACTTCAGTCATTATTGCTTTTATTACTATTACATTACTCATAATGTTAATATTAATAATAACAATAATAATTAGTATTAGAATGATTTCTGAAGAATCATTGCGACTCTGAAGACTGAAGTAACGAAGCTCAAAATTCATTATTAAAACCACTGAAATAAATTATTTAAATTATAACCTACTTTTGAACAGTTATTTTATAGTGTAATAACATTTCACAATTTAACAATGTGTACTGTATTTAATTAAATAACTGCAGCCTTTGTGTGCAAGTTAAGCGTATTTTAAAACATGTAAAAATTATATTGACCCCAAACTTTTGACTGGTGGTGTATATGCATATAGGATTTTGCAAAGAATAACTAATAAGGTTTGCATTAATTCATGTTATATTTAAACTGCATAATCCATAACACTGTACAGAAAGTTAGTTCTGAAATCTGATTGGTTGAGCAGAATTTTGAAAGCTCTGGTTAATCAACAGACTTTTTTACTGTTTATCACAGGTCCATACTGGACTGACAAAAATGATGTGATGTGAAGAGATTTATTTTATTTATTTATTTATTTAAATCTTTTGACTCTAGGTTGCCAGTAAATGTCAACAAATCACTGATCAGTAATTTGATAGATTTTTGGGGGGGTTTTGCAAACAGAACGCATTCTACTTTCTCGTCTGAGGATTTAGATTAGTCATAATGAATCATTTTAATTTAATTATTGGTTCTCTCAGGAATTATGATATTTAATTTAATTATTAATTAAATTTATTTAATTTAAGCTATGTTAATACAACACAAACAAAAATAGTTATTTATTGTTATTTTTATCATTAAAATGGCTGCTTTCTATATGTTAAAAGTGCAGTGGGTGAAACACTTTTTGTTGTGCTGGTTAAAAGTCTCATTTATTCATTCATTTTCTTGTCAGCTTAGTCCCTTTATTAATCCAGGGTCGCCACAGCGGAATGAACCGGCAACTTATCCAGCACGTTTTTACGCAGCAGATGCTCTTTTAGCCGCAACCCATCTCTGGGAAACATTCACACACACACACACTCAGACACTACGGACAATTTAGCCTACCCAATTTACCTGTACCTGTCTTTGGACTGTGGGGGAAACCGGAGCAGGGAGAACATGCAAACTCCACACAGAAACACCAACTGAGCCGAGGTTCGAACCAGCGACTCAGCAACCTTCTTGCTGTGAGGCGAAAGCACTAACTACTGCGCCACTGCGTTGCCGGTTTTAAAGTCTCTTCACATTCAAATAGTATTGATTAAAATAAATGATCTAAATGTATTTATATGTCTTTTTATATTCTGAGTTAGGCATAAGACTAAAATTTGTTCATCCAATTGAAATTTGTTGGGTTGACATCTCCCATAATTCTGAAAAGTAGCCCAAACTGTCTGTCAACAAATGGAGAATTATACATCTGCGCACCCCTGTTCACGCAGACAGATCCACCATTTTCACATGTACGTAAACGATTGAGTAACAGCAGTAAAAACAAATGCTTAATTAACTTTTTTGTAAATCCTGAATCAATATTGCATAATCGGGTTCATCAAATTTGCTTAAACTAAAGCCGCTTTTCCACTATCGTGCTGAATCGTTCTTTAAACAGAACTGTTCCATTCCGTGCCAAACCGGGCCAGACAGCACGGATACGGTTTCATTTTCCACTGTCGTGCTGCGACAAAGCTCTTTAAAACATTACACAAAACGCATCAGTAGTTGCCTTGGTAACGCAATGTAAACGGCTCCCTTTGTTCAATTAAAGTTAAATAAGAGCCGAAACTATTTTTTTTTTTTTTCATAAAAGCAAAAGCAACCATGTGACTAAACACTGTTATGCCGCTCTATCAAATAGGGGTGCTAAATGTGCACCCTTATTTATTTATATGTTGCGCAGCTCTTGCTAAATTTTATTTGGAGGGAAAATGACCAAAATGTAATGTGATGATTGAAAATAATTGGAGGGGAAATAAATAATATTTAAAATCTCTGAACATAACAGAAAAATAAACAATGATAAGACAACAATAATAGTGCATTTGCATTATAGTCGCAGAAATATAATTTTGGACAGGCCTTGTCAAAGGTGAGCGGGCACTTTCACTAATAAATACACAGCACATAAATATTTCCTTTTTATCAATTAATTAAATTACACTGCGTTTTTATATCAAAAGTTGATAATGATATAAAATATACTACATTTTGATGGTAAAATGAAACCAATTAAGCGATGGCTGTTTTTTGTTTTACTATTCAAACATTAAATAACGAATGCAGCAAGTGAAATAAAAACGAATATGAAACAACACATATAATGCAGGATTTAAAGCATATAAAGCACTATTATATTTAGCAAAATGCTGCTCTATTATCTTTTTATTTTGATCATTTTATTTTCATTATTATAATTATTTTTGTGTTCATAATTAACTAACAAGCTGTAGGCGAATTATTGCTTGACGTTTTAGAAAATATTTGCGTAGCTATATTAAAGATCACCACAAAAAAACAAAAACACAGAAACATGTTATATGCCTCATAAATGTCATATAACTTATGTATAACTGAATCATATAATTGCCTATAGCTGAAATGATGAAAATTGCTCATTTTATTTTTATAAAACATTTGTCAAAACGTATTGATATTTTTTGAGTAAAAGCAATACTGACATTTAAGAATCCATATTTATTTAATTCATTAATTCTTTTGACTTGTTTATTAGTGCATATGCTATAATATAAATCATACAACAGTACCTTGGACAGTTACAGTGCCGCTCCGTAAAGCTTTCAAGCAAAGTCTTTTGGACGGCCGACATTACAACATGAACACGCCGTCCTTCAGGTGGTCTCGCCGGTATTAACAAGCTGTCCTGGCTTTGAATTAAAAAGTGCAATTATTTCCTCGTTGTTTAAAGAGTCTGCAAGTTCGTTTTTCATGGGTGATGTTGTTGTGGAATTTGGACATCGACGATGCAAAGCGTGACTTTATTCGCTTTATTCATTGCGCAGCAGGAAAAAAAGTCAGCAGCGCAAGTCGCTGGCATAAACTCACATTCAGGCAGGCGAAGTAGGTCTGTATTCAAGTCAATAAAATAATAACTTTAATGAATAAAATATCTTCGTAAGAATGTGATGAGTTATTCACTTCTCTGCCAGAGACTGCTCTATGGTTTTAAAACCCTTTTCAAACTGTATCGTTTAGACTTGGATCATTATTTTATATTAAATGTACTGTAGTTTATTGAGGATGTCTGATGGCTAGCGCGCTTCTGCTGAGCCAGCTGTGGTAGCTTAGCAACCGAGTCGCGACGTCAACACACAGAATTTGTCAGCACAGTTCAGCACGGTTGTCTAACCGTGCCGAGAATTCCGGGCCAAGAACGGTTTGTAATCGTGCCGCGCCGTTCCAGGCTCAGTGGAGAAACAACCGTAACCGTACCGAAGTGTTCTTAGAACGGTTTGGCACGATAGTGGAAAAGCAGCTTAAGTGTTCTAAAGCATATTTTACTAGCAAGGATTCTGACACAGCAACATGAAGCAGATGCTTTACAAAAGTCGCGTGTAAGGGGTAAACAAGTCAAACTTAATGACACATTTGAGGGCTCATGGAATCAACTTAAAGGCAGAGGAATGTCTCTGAAAGCTTGCAATATCATCTGGAACTTTCAGTGACTATGTGCATGGACACCATTGCTCCGATTTTAATATGATTAAGACAATACTCTGAATAATAGGCTAGACTACCATGTAAACAATGATTTTTGATCACCTTAAAGGACCATAGACAATTGCTTCGCAAAATGCGGATGTCTTCTCTTTCCATTCAACGTGCGGTATCAAATTCCATCAAAACAGCACTCTTCCACCAGTCCTTACTTAATGCTTGCATCAAATACCTGTTTGTAATGGAGGCACGAATGAAATGTTTCTGAATGAAAGTGTAACTGCAGTTAAAGTAAAAAAATTTTTTTTAAAAACTGAAATTACATGAAACTCTGGAAGAAACATGGATAGCGTGGTGACGCAATGACGTTACTCGATCTATGTACTCTAACATGTAAGACGGGATCATGAAAGGAACATTTAAAAAGCAACTCATGTAAACACCTTGATTATATTATTGTCTTATTCAGATTAAGGCAAATCATTAGATTACT